TAGGCGAGGCGAATTGCAGCCATCAGGCGCACACGTCAGATCACATGGCTGTATGATTCGTACGTTGTTGCATAAGCACCCCACCACACCATGCTGTGTTCAGTATTCGCAAGTCAAACGCATTGCCATCCGTCTCGCGGCTGGTTGCGCGGAAACGCATTTTGTTATTATTCGTTGCTCGCAGGAGCATCAGAGGTTAATGAGGCAATATTTGCGGCGTTTGAACCTCCCTACCTTACCTCTCTGAAGTGCACAGCGAACTTGCAGCCCGTTGCACCACTGTCCCTCGTCCTCAGTGCCACCTACTCTCCGCAAGAGGTAAATGACTCTCACTCCTTTGAGAGACAGCGCAAGAACCAGACGATGTCAGCATATGGCTTCCAGGCATTAACACGCTTAATAGTCAGCTATTAGACGAATCAAGGTGAAACACGTTCTTCAGAGACGCTTGCACCACATAACACCGTCGTATTTTTCTTCCATTCTGCAATGATCATTCCGCTTTCGGATGGTTGCGACGAGGCAGCGTGGTGTGTTGAGGTGAATTTCGTATTCAAGTGAATCGCATAAGTAGTTATGAGATTGTTCCGGCATTCGAACCGAACACCTCCGGAGTTCAAGGCAGAATTCTTAGCATACTGCAACTTCCTCTCCCCCTTTGTTCTCCATGGCAATCGAACGAACTTCAGATAATTTCAATTATACACGACGTGAATCGTCCGCTGAACAACGGAAAAACAAGTGCAGCAGGCCAGATGAGGTTGTCTGCTGGGTGAACCTTCCATTCACAGGAATGAGCCTGTCAACAGCGGTCGAAAATTGCATGACTTAGTTTGTAAGTTCAAGCGCAACAAAAGGCAATACACCTGAAAATGAACGTAAATTCCTGAAATTGCCTCGAACTGCATGCAGACTGACCCTCTCTTTCAACCGACCAGCTATTTATTTTCAGAATATGCTGAACAAATCATACATTAACGATGTAAGCTGCTTTGCACGAAATGAAACGCTTGTTTTTAAGATATAGAGTTTTGTCACCTTCTTATTCTCATATGAGGACGATCTTCTCTGTGGTAGTCAAGGAAGCAAATCCCCATCTAGCAGATCCGCATAGCCGTTGTTAAATGAGATACAACGGAACAGAGATATAACAAGCACGAGCAAAGATTTCTGCCGTGGATGAAAGTGCAAAACGAATGTTTGAGTTCACTGTAAAGGTATCGATTTGTGGTAACCCCGTTTGTTGAAGCCAATGGCAGCCGAAGCAGAGATTTACTAGATGAACATTGCATGCACCCCATGCGACAAGACAGGGGGTGAATCAAGGTCCAAAATTGAAATCGTTGGAATCGCAAAACAAAAACGGTCAGCTTGCTCGATCACTTTATTTGTCACGAACCGACCACCTATTATCCGAGAAACAGTCGCAAGTAAACAATGGCTTAATGTCAATCGCTACAGAACCGCAGGCGATTTCAAGTAAAAAAGAAAAAAGCGTGGCTGAGTCATTCGACAATCGAAGTTCCGTAGATTGACCAAATTTCAAAAAATCCAGATTCAATTACTACCGGATATTGGTCATTGCCAAATACCTCACAAAATCCAGACGTTTTACTTTCAGCGCATCGCCAACAATTCGCTTGCCTTCTTACACAAGCAAAACCATTCACTGCATATGCCTCATAGGTTGGCGGACTAGGTACGATGCCATTGTTTTCCCTGAAGAGAAATCAATTCATCTTGCGTGGCAGCTTCTCATTTCAGGTGGCTGACGCAGGCGGGTCAGACACT